ATGTTTTTGCCGTAATTTATTTACATATCGAGATTACTAAAGACAGTCCAACCAGTTGTTGTGGAGTTCCGATGCTATTGTCTCATAGACCGGACAGGGCTCTGCCGCCTTCCTTCGATACTGATCTTCACAACTTTAATTAATACTCTTGTTTGTTCGATTTATGTGCACCACCTCTTCAAAGGCCGCCAAAGGTGTTTTTTTTTTCTTGCAAATACCACTCACTGATACTCGACACTCACTATTTGTCAGTACAAATCAAACTTATCGAATTTTACTTTTTTGCTTGACGGCAATGACTTCATTTCACAGAACCATTCAGTCTGATTGTAATGGTCAAAAACAGACTCATACCACAAACTTGTTCAAAAACTCGTAAGAAAAGAACATTTTTTATTATTTTTAGCTCGACGATGAGACACTGGCGACTTATATGGAGAAGCTGCGCCATCAGCTGAGCCGCCTGAAACGCTTTCGTGAAATATCGTTTGGGCCTTACTCCGTCGCACGTCATCAAAGCGAAGCACATATGTCTTGGTTCTTCAGGCGCAGGTCACTACCCAGTTTGACCGATTCTACGCCTACTGCTACTACTACACGTACAACTATGCATGAACAACCAGCGTTGAGGTATTCATAGCAACCACACACTCAGATTTGTTGTGCTCCCTCACTTTGGACATACATTGAACATACATTTTTTGCATATAATTTGAACACATATTTTTGCATATATGCAAATTCAAAAACGCATATTTTTACAAACCACGGTATGCGCATGTCTTTCCGGGTATTTCAACTCGAAAACCAAGCAAGCTTCAGCTTTGAAATTTTGCTACTCGACTCTCCAGCCAAATACCATCCCAGGACTGCGGTACCAACTAACTTGCACGTATGAGCCCACGTACAAGCACGTGAAAGTTCTAGTAGAAAAATCGCTAACTCGGAAAGCAGAACAGCTGAGATTTTAATGGAATGTTTCTTTTCCATGTAGAACTCAAAGTTTTCAAATTTAGCTCCCGGGCATGCGTGATTCAAACGTAGAGGCGTCAAAGTTTTTGACGGGAATGCGTTTTTGCACTAAAATCAAAATGTGGAGATCGTTAACAGTATGAATGGTTGTTACTTTACAACTTAACGTATGCACTCATCTTGACATTGTTATCGTTTTTCCTGTATACTGGAGGAAAGGGGCGTCAACTGGCATAGCGGTATTATATCACGAAGATATCAGGACTCGGCCTGACTCCACTTCAGCACTAGCTACCTTAAAAAGCTTAATAAAATTAAAATTAAGGAACGAAGATAATTTTTTTTAAAACAAAAATAAGGTGGTGAGTTTAACCAAATGTGAGTTTTGACTAAAAAAGTGCCAAAGATTTAGTCTATAAATGCTGCGTCAAAACTGCTAGGATATATACTTGGCCACGCTGTACGCATTCCAGCGCTGACCCCATAAGGGTTTTTAAAAAGGTCTAGGCTAGAACGTACCACGTTTGTCGGTGCGATCACGCGTTTTTGCACTAAATTTGAAGCAGTCAAGTCTCTATGAATGGTTGCTGCTTTAAACTTACCCAGCGTGTTCTCTAGCGTATGTCATCGCAAGTTCTGCATAAAGAAAAATAAATTCTTGTAAAACGGTCGTCTTGTGGAAACTACCTGGCTGTCCATTGGGCAGTTTTCCTGCATAGAAACTATGTATACCTACAGGCTGAATTTGGGAGCTTTAATTTGTACTTGGACGGGGAATGTCTTCTTAAGGCTTCGCTTTCAGTTTTCTAGCTCCCGAATTAGCAATTTTCCCGCCAAAACTTTAACATGTTCGTACGTATGGCTCAGACGTGCGTGAAGGCTGGTACCGCGATTCGTGAGAAGGGGGAGAGGGAGTGGGTGGCACCTCGCCGGGGAAGCCATTTGCAAATTCCAGCGCAGAAGCTTGCATGGTTGTAGACTTAAAATACCCGGATAGACGCACACGCGTTCGAAAATACACACATACATGCATCATGGGTCCTCATAACATGCATTTTTATGCGTTTTTGCTGTGCGGCGCTATAATGCTGCTGCAGCCAGCAAAAACGCATATTGTCGAGAGGTTGTCTGTGTGTGTGTGTTCGGAAAGCGAGTGCATTTTGTCATCCACTTTCATCTCAGAAACCAGGGAAGCTGTGAGGTTG